ATACTACTTGAAATATATAATTATTTTTACGAACAATTAATATATCCGTCATCTTGGAATACTGTAAAACTACTTATGATCCATAAAAAAGGAAATAGATTATCACCAGAAAACTATCGTCCTATCGCTCTTCTATCAACTTTAAGGAAATGTTTCACATCAATATTGGCATTACGATTTCAAAAATGGACGACAAATCAAAAACTAATTTCGAATTTACAGTTTGCTTTTATAAAATCCAAAGGAACTGAATCGGCCATATTCTTATTAAACTCACTAATTCAAATATACTTAAAGAAAAAACGAAGAAAAATTTATGCTGCATTCATTGACATTACTAAAGCATTTGACTCTATTCACGTACCCTCTTTGGTTAACAAATTAAAAGTATTTGGTGCAGGTACCAAATTTACAACTACAATTATGGAACTTTTTTCCTCTTACAAAATCAATATAGTATACGGAAAACAGAGATATCCTGAAATTATAATAAATCGAGGAATTTTACAAGGTGAGCCATTGTCTCCCTATCTATTTAATTTTTATATTAATGAAATAGATAAGCTATTCTTATATGATTCAGAAGGCATTAATATATATGGAAGAACATTTCACTACATTCTATACGCAGATGATTTGGTTTTATTGGCCCCAACAAAAGTTACTCTACAGCATAAGATTAATAAAGTGAACGACTATCTGAAATCTATTTATTTAACGATCAATACTGATAAATCAAAAATAATAATATTCAGAAACAATATTAAACTGGCAAATCAAGAGAAATCATTTTATATAAATAATCAACCGTTGGAATTGGTCAATAACATAAAATATTTGGGTATAATGTTCAACTGGAATGGTAAATTCCAAACACATATGAAATATCTTAATAATAAAATAAATCAATTAATAAATAATACTCTCTATTTAGGAGCTAGTTTAAAAATCTCAAACTTAAATCTTCATATGAGAATGTTTAACTCAATAATAATGTCAACTATTTTATATGCCAGTCCGATTTGGGCCATTGATTTATTTTATAACCTGGAAAAATTCCATATTATCTATCTACGCAAAATATTTAAACTCGAACGTACTATACCTGGTTATGCTATTCGCCTAGAAACAAACAGATGTCAGATTTTTCCATTCTTTATGAAAAGATTAATCAGATTTTACTACCGTTTAATGCATTCTAAAGATGATAATATTACGTTTTTACTTCATATAATGAAAAATAAAATGGAAAACAATAATACCAGTAATACAACTTGGTTCTACAAATTTAATAAAATATTACAGTCATTTGGTGTATCTACTATCTTACTTGACAACTCGATTGATAATTGGAATAATGCCTACACTATGATGATGGATTCAGCGATTTCACAATCGATAATTAGTGATCAAAATTCTCTACTCAATTCAACATATCATCCTTGGTACTTGCATATCCTAAGTTTTCCCACTCAATCAAACATTATCACAATGAATACAAATTTAAATATTAAACGTATATTACTACAATTGAGACTAAATAAATTCTCCTTAATTGTGAATAATAATTATATAGATTTTACCAAATCATGTTATTGGTGTAATTCCAGCAGCTTTTCTGCATTTCATCTAATCAGAGACTGTACAGCGTTGAAAAAATATCAGCAACAATTTCAAACTCTAAGAATATTTTCTTCAAATAATGAATTTGATTATAGATCCAAACTGGGTAATTTAACGAAAATAAATATGTATAAAATTGTTAATTTCTTCAACCAAATTACTAATGATTTGAATGTTCAACACCAAAAATAACTTGTGTTCATTTAATTATTTATTGTTTTTATATAAATAACTAATTTATATTTACTTATTATTTGTATTGTTTATATCTTAATCATTACCCCCTGTAACAAGGATTCCTTATTATGAATAAACAAATTATTATTATTTTTACTTATAAATGGATATATTCATTTCTTATAAAGGAGACAAACAAAAATTTATTTGAAAAACACAAATATTTGTTTTTTTGGGTCTCTAATTAATAAAAAATGACAAAACACCATTTTAAAGTACATTTTTATTCAAATAAGTATATTTATAAATAACATGTAGCCCAAGAAGTAGCCAATACGCCAAATGATATTTTTTATGCCAAATTAAAAAAAGGGTAGGCAAATTAGGTGCAAAGTAGTCAAATCTTGCAACGCTGGAAGGAATACTAAATAAAGCTGGAGTTGTGACCCAAAGGGTAATAGACTCAAATTCAGGAAAAAATGAGAAAGGCCAAAAGGTAAAAAGTAGTGAGAAAGGTTAAATAGACCTTCTGTTATGTAAATATTAACCCTTAATTTTCCAACCGTCTTCACTTCTTTATCTTTTGTCCTTTCTCTGTTTTTCCTGAATTTGAGTCTATAATCTTTTGAGTCACAACTTCAGCTTTATTTAGTATTCCTTCTTCGTTCACACATTCCAAGTATTTGAAAATATTTCCTTTCCATTCAAAAATAAAATATGTATAAAGGTGTACGGCTTTATGAAACTTCTTTTTTGAGTTTATGCCGTTGAAATACAGTAAATAAATAAAAAAATTTGTCAGTTTTGTTTACGTGTTTATTGGGCCACATTGGAACTTGCCTTGAATCGCAGGTTGCACACCCCTGGTGTAAACACACATTAAAACAATATGATATGAATACAAAATTTAAAATATTTTAATATTTATATTATTTTGTTCATTTTTATGTCTTTTGAAAGTATTATAAGATGTGTGTGTCATCAGCACTAAACTTTGTAGAGTCATTATATATGCTGAGGACAGATTATTTTTATACTAGGTATATAAATCATATTCTGTAAAAATTTATTAAATAGCCTTAGGTTTATCATAGTGATAATAAACAGAAGTGGAGATAATGTCAAAATTTTAATTTGTACTTACAGTTCAACAAAATTAAACAGTTTATTCTTTCTCATATCCAGTTCTCTCCTTTTCCATATATTATATCTGTATCTGTACAGATACAGATATAATATATGGAAAAGGAGAGAACTGGATATGAGAAAGAATAAACTGTTTAATTTTGTTGAACTGTAAGTACAAATTAAAATTTTGACATTATCTCCACTTCTGTTTATTATCACTATGATAAACCTAAGGCTATTTAATAAATTTTTACAGAATATGATTTATATACCTAGTATAAAAATAATCTGTCCTCAGCATATATAATGACTCTACAAAGTTTAGTGCTGATGACACACACATCTTATAATACTTTCAAAAGACATAAAAATGAACAAAATAATATAAATATTAAAATATTTTAAATTTTGTATTCATATCATATTGTTTTAATGTGTGTTTACACCAGGGGTGTGCAACCTGCGATTCAAGGCAAGTTCCAATGTGGCCCAATAAACACGTAAACAAAACTGACAAATTTTTTTATTTATTTACTGTATTTCAACGGCATAAACTCAAAAAAGAAGTTTCATAAAGCCGTACACCTTTATACATATTTTATTTTTGAATGGAAAGGAAATATTTTCAAATACTTGGAATGTGTGAACGAAGAAGGAATACTAAATAAAGCTGAAGTTGTGACTCAAAAGATTATAGACTCAAATTCAGGAAAAACAGAGAAAGGACAAAAGATAAAGAAGTGAAGACGGTTGGAAAATTAAGGGTTAATATTTACATAACAGAAGGTCTATTTAACCTTTCTCACTACTTTTTACCTTTTGGCCTTTCTCATTTTTTCCTGAATTTGAGTCTATTACCCTTTGGGTCACAACTCCAGCTTTATTTAGTATTCCTTCCAGCGTTGCAAGATTTGACTACTTTGCACCTAATTTGCCTACCCTTTTTTTAATTTGGCATAAAAAATATCATTTGGCGTATTGGCTACTTCTTGGGCTACATGTNTAACTATAAATATTTCTAATTTAGCACATTTTAGAATTTTTAATTTATTTAAATTTCTTAATAATTATTAACACATTTTTATTTAACAATTATTTTGAATCACCGATTTTTCTAATTATTAATAATTTACTCCAATTAATTTTGAATAAGACTAAACTTTTACCATTAAGATAGCCATAAGTAGATTTTTTATATTCTTCCCAAGAAATAATTTCTTTTTTATCTGGATTATGATTTTTCCACTGTTTATCTACATCTTCCAAAATATATCTTTTTTGTGTAAATTGAATCCATTCTTTTAATTCTTGCTGAGTAACAAAACCATCCTAATAATAAATTAACAATAGGTAAATATAGTTTTATACTTGTTAATCATCTGTATTGCAAAAAGTAGTAAATATGTTGCAATAAATATAATTTATTTATATATTTCATATAATATATAAATTTAAGAAATTTATAAATAAAAGTTATATTTAAGACAAGTTAACTTTAAAAATAAGAGACTTAAAATGTATTTATTTAATTTTTATAATTGTGCCATCGCCAATAGAATATGTTTAACATTTTTATATTTGGAGGTAGACAAGTAGCCTTGAATAAAAGATAAACTCTGCAGTAGAATTATTTCCTCAAGTGCATTTGAAAGGACTGAATGAAAAGACACATCTTGTATGTACTGTCTACTGAAGAATTTTAAAAAAATTTTTTGTAAATTTAAATTTGTCCTGGCTAACTTTTATAAAAAGAGATTTAATACTTTATATAAATAAAATAACTCAATTCAATAATGATGTCATTCTCCTGATGTGTTGAATATGTTGAAATTTCTACATCTGTTTGTAATTGTTATCAATATCATCATATGGTTTATTCACAACTAGAATAAAACCTAAAAAAAATGTTTAAATCTATAACAAAAACAAATTATCTATTAAATCTGAATATCTTACTAATGTTTGAAAAGTAGATAATAATTTTAAAAGTTATAATCTTCAAAATCTATAAATTATTATCATTACATAGTTTATGTTTATTCTGTTAACAAAATTTTCTACTTAAAATTTGAGACTCCATTCATAGTTTTCATTTAATAGACTCAACTTAATAGTGTATGTTATTATCTCTCCTTTAAGCAATTTAAATCAGTAATAATTTACTAATAAATAATTATATTATAATTTTTACTTACTTTATTTTTATCTATTTTTTCTACTATTTTTCCAAGTCGATTTCTACTTTCTTCTGGAGAAAGTTCATCAAAAGATTTTGCTTCATCTCCTAGAAATGCATCGTGATCATAATCTACATTGTGTTCTTCATCTTTTCCATAATGTTCTTCATCACTAAGTGTCTATGAAATGAAGTGATAAATTATTGTAAAACAGATATTATATTTAAAATTAATTTTTTAAAATACATAAATATACTGCAATTAAACAAACAAACTAATTCAAGATAAGATTCTGTTATAATTACTTACATTTGTAGTGTTTTTTTTTCATTCTCAATGATATATTCAAAGATTATTTCTACTTATTTATATAGGGAAACAGTATCAAATTATTTTGAAGATTTCATATTTTTACCAATTATTTTCACTAAATCATATTTTCTCAAGAACTATTCATTATATAGCATTTAAAAATCTATATCCATGAAAATGACAACAATGGCAAATAATAATTCACTATCTACAAAATATGAATCCTTTTGTCACAATATTACAGAATAGTAAATACAATTTCTGTATTACATAACTAAACTTTTTAAAATTCTATAACCAAATATACATTGATTATAATATAACTGAACACATTTTAATATATCAATTAAATTTCAGTCGAATGTTTATTTACAAATCCTTTTCGATATTTTAATATTTTTATTTATAATCTTATAATATTTATATCCCTTTAGTTTTAAATCATCAAAATTATTAAAATGGTTTCATGAGCTTCTGCATGAGGCAGACCATTTTTGCCACCATGTTTTTTTGAACAAATGAAATATGTATAATGTTTCTTTATTAATAAAAAGCATTATTTTATTTTTGTTAATAAAAATAACATTCATTTATATGAGTAGGAACTCCTATGGGCCAATAACTTTTCTCTAGGCCCAGGAAAAAATTCCCAGCTCCTCCTACCTCTCAACAGCCCTGAGTAAGTTGATTCAGATTTCATTTATTGATTTCATAGTGAATTTTCTTTAAATTTTCAAAATTGGAGTATGCAAAAAATAAAAATTAGAAAATAATAATTGCTATGATAAAGTTTATAAAAGTTTCTTTTATTAATAAAAATATAGTTAGTTCTAAATTGAATTTAATCTTATTTTTGTCTTTCTAGAAGTGCAATCACTAAATCTGAGATTATCACAAAATTATTGAAAAGTATAATTTTACAAAATTTACAATCGAAGACTTTGTACTGTATTTATTTATTAAGATTTTAATGAAGTACAATTTTTTAATATTTGGTATAAATTACATTATTGATGCAACTCTGAATATTGTTGTAATACTCTATATTAAGTTTGAATCCTTTTAAAACAGNAATCTATTGCTTGGTTCCTGCTGAGTATCTGTTGTTTCATCATTGTTTTTTGTTTTTATTTATATTATTGGTGTTTAGTGACAGTATTTAAATAAATATCAAGTATTTTATTTAATTAATTTGTTTCACATCTTTCATATGTCTTCCACAATACTTTAATAAGAACAAATATTTCTGGCCTAGTTTATAGGCCTGCTAGGTCAAAACAGTTGTTATTAATTCATAAAGTATTGATGGAAGACATAAAGAAGGTGTAAAATTAATTATTGTTAAGTTCCAGCTTTGAATGACACATTTTATTTGATGTGAAAGAATGATCAAAGATAGTTTGAAAGGAATATCACTAAGTAGCAATTAAGATTGGCCATTTTTATAAATAAAAAACATTATTTTGTTAAATAAATAATTTTATAATTTATAATGAAAGGGTAAATTGCTATAAAATATGAACTAATTAAGGATTGCAAAATGTATGTACAAAAAAAAGAAAAGAAAGAAAGAAATAGTTATTACTATAATCATTCAGTGTGAAATGACTTGAAACATTGAGGACAAGGACCAAAGTTACATTTTCTGCACCATATGTATGTACTTTGTTCAGTACAATTTTCACTTTGACCTCTGCATCTGACATTATTACTATTATCTTTACTAAATGATCCAATCCATCATACTGAATATCATGGTTTGTTGCACTAAATACCAAACTACCAAGAGGACATCCAAGTCCTTTTAATAGTGCTCTATAACTAATAAGTTTGATTTATTTTTTGAATTCAAGCTATGATATATTGGTCCCACTTGATATAGTTAGAATAGATACATCAAGTAGCAAGGTAAAAATGTTTTTAAAATGTCTAAAGTTTCATCATTCTCATCAACAAAATCTACATCAGACAATTCAGTCTCATCAGATGGCCAGACCTATGTAGAGCCTCTCTAAATCTAGATTGCTTATTATTCTTCAGTAAAGAAACTATTTCAATTACTGCTAATATGAAATAAAAACAATGATTATTATAATGTAATAAACAAACACACATACAGAAATATATAAAGTACGTGAACAAGGTCCATATGAATGTTTCTATTACTTTAAAGGAAAAAACAAAACAATTTATTTTATATACTCCTTACAATTTGGCTTTATCATTCCATAAATGAGTAGTAGGTTAGACTAATCCAAAATTTGAACAGCAAATTTCAGTTCAAGAAATTTTTGCACCAACAAAACAATGAACTATATGCACAGTAGAGAAAGGAGAAGCCTAGTGGTATGGAAATGTACAGTACCATCAAGATTTTGTCATAGGTTTATCAATGAAAAAATGTTTAACTAAATTATTTTAAGTGCCTTCAAAATATAGCTTGCAAACTAAGTCCACAGATAACAATTATTAAATAATAAAATATAAAATATTAACATCAAAAAATTAATAAATCATACATCTTTTATTTTTACAAAATAAATATATTCTGTATGTTATAAAAAGAATTTTTCTTCTTTATATAAGAACCAGTCATAAATGATATAACTAAACTCACTAATGCATTACTTCTAAACTGTTTTTTGTGGACAATTATCTATTAAAAAACTTTCATAAAGGAATTTTTTATTTTAAACCATTAAAGCCTGAATTTTTAAAATTTTATACTTTTTCTTCATTAGCAAATTAATTGCACTCATTTTCAATAGTTTATGGCAACTTTTTAGAATTTTAGTTTTGAGTATTAGGGTGGTATGTAAATCTATTGCTTGGTTCCTGCTGAGTATCTGTTGTTTCATCATTGTTTTTTGTTTTTATTTATATTATTGGTGTTTAGTGACAGTATTTAAATAAATATCAAGTATTTTATTTAATTAATTTGTTTCACATCTTTCATATGTCTTCCACAATACTTTAATAAGAACAAATATTTCTGGCCTAGTTTATAGGCCTGCTAGGTCAAAACAGTTGTTATTAATTCATAAAGTATTGATGGAAGACATAAAGAAGGTGTAAAATTAATTATTGTTAAGTTCCAGCTTTGAATGACACATTTTATTTGATGTGAAAGAATGATCAAAGATAGTTTGAAAGGAATATCACTAAGTAGCAATTAAGATTGGCCATTTTTATAAATAAAAAACATTATTTTGTTAAATAAATAATTTTATAATTTATAATGAAAGGGTAAATTGCTATAAAATATGAACTAATTAAGGATTGCAAAATGTATGTACAAAAAAAAAAAAGAAAGAAAGAAATAGTTATTACTATAATCATTCAGTGTGAAATGACTTGAAACATTGAGGACAAGGACCAAAGTTACATTTTCTGCACCATATGTATGTACTTTGTTCAGTACAATTTTCACTTTGACCTCTGCATCTGACATTATTACTATTATCTTTACTAAATGATCCAATCCATCATACTGAATATCATGGTTTGTTGCACTAAATACCAAACTACCAAGAGGACATCCAAGTCCTTTTAATAGTGCTCTATAACTAATAAGTTTGATTTATTTTTTGAATTCAAGCTATGATATATTGGTCCCACTTGATATAGTTAGAATAGATACATCAAGTAGCAAGGTAAAAATGTTTTTAAAATGTCTAAAGTTTCATCATTCTCATCAACAAAATCTACATCAGACAATTCAGTCTCATCAGATGGCCAGACCTATGTAGAGCCTCTCTAAATCTAGATTGCTTATTATTCTTCAGTAAAGAAACTATTTCAATTACTGCTAATATGAAATAAAAACAATGATTATTATAATGTAATAAACAAACACACATACAGAAATATATAAAGTACGTGAACAAGGTCCATATGAATGTTTCTATTACTTTAAAGGAAAAAACAAAACAATTTATTTTATATACTCCTTACAATTTGGCTTTATCATTCCATAAATGAGTAGTAGGTTAGACTAATCCAAAATTTGAACAGCAAATTTCAGTTCAAGAAATTTTTGCACCAACAAAACAATGAACTATATGCACAGTAGAGAAAGGAGAAGCCTAGTGGTATGGAAATGTACAGTACCATCAAGATTTTGTCATAGGTTTATCAATGAAAAAATGTTTAACTAAATTATTTTAAGTGCCTTCAAAATATAGCTTGCAAACTAAGTCCACAGATAACAATTATTAAATAATAAAATAACAACTTTGTAAATATATAAACTTATCCCTGTTCAAAATTTATATTAAAACATCATGATGTTTCCTACTTTTAATTTACCACAAAAATAAATAAGAATTAAAAATGCTGCCACCACAAATAAAGTATTAAGTAAGTGTTAAAGTAATACTTTTGTAGAAATTCTTCAGAGAAGTTTGTGAAATTTTATGACACATCATGAAATATCTACTTATATATAGTGATACCATACATTATTGTACTGCTAGGTAATTTAATGGGTTAATACAGAATTTAAAATATTATTTCACTAATAAAATTGATTGATTTTTTGAAAAGTTACTTTCTTATAATGGACAAATTAAAACATCTTAAAGATTTTTCTAATTATTATAATGATAAAAATTACAGAAAATATAGTGGATTTAAAATCAATCTAATCATGTTATAAATGCATTTTTTTTTTTAATGAGAATCAAATTCTGAAATTATGTTTTCATTTAAAATTTATTAAATATAAAAAAATTATTTATCAATAATATACAATAATAAAATTTCATATTGAACAGAAGAAAATAGCATTTTGGAGTTATCAATCAGAATTTAAGTTGATATTTCTTTATTTTATCTAAATCTTTAGAAGAAATCAAAGATTTAAAATTCCTTCACATGCTCCTCCATAATCTAATCTAAAATATTCGAAAACAAACATTAATCATTCTCATTTTTCTTTTATTTCTGATAATCTTATGTAAAATTTAAAAATAACTTGAAAAATTAAAAAAAAAAAAAACAAAGAGAACTTATAATCATGGATTATCCATGTGAATTATGTTTATTAATTAAGTAATACAATTTTCTTACGGATAATCCTGTTGGTTGTTACAATGTGTAACAACCAACAGGATAATCCGTAAGAAAATTGTACGGATTATCCTGTTGGTTCCGTAATCCGTAAGAAAATACGGATTATTTCGTTGGTTCTTATACATAGTAATAACCAACAGGATAATCCGTAAGAAAATAGTTATAGATTAAAGCATTGTAAGGCAAACAAAGATCCACTTTACCTCATTTGACTTGCGGTACGAGTTCCTAGTCTTACTATAGCTGATGTGCGTCCGTTCGTTGATCCGTCAAGGTCTACATACAGTCTTGACCGACTCCCGCCACGATCGACATCTGTTAACCATTAACGACTTCAAACCGGGACAAAAATATGCAATATCCAACTTTTTCTTCGCCACTTGTTATCACTGCACGTTCTCTAACGCCGTGCACTTAATTTAAAAACTTCTCTCACTTGTCGACTACACATTTATTGCATTAAATATTCATTTTATAATTAAACGTCTAATTTTTATTATTAATCGGTTTATGTTTTCGTTGTTTTTAATTAAAACTAATAATAATTATTATTAGTTTTAATTTTAAAAATGTAATAATGATGACGATGATCTTCGCCACTGTATGGCGTTCAGAAAATTGGGTCAGGTTTACGTCTGTCTATTCATAGATGAAAGAATGTACGCGAAGAAATCTCGTGCAAAAAATATTTTATGAATCGTTCTTTCAAGGATTCTTTCGAAGATATAAATAAAATACATTAAAAAAAATATATAATAATTTAAAACATTTGGAGAAACAGTTTTGATTTATATTTTTAAAATATTTTAAGTGTAAAAACAATTTAAATAAAAATTTGCGCCTTCTGATTGTTCTCCGATTGTTATAAATTTAAAGGGGAATACGCAATACAATAATAACTTCTTAAACATTTAAACTAGTTTAATTTATATTTTTAAAATAAAATAAATAAGATTTTTTTAAAGAATGAAACAGGAAGAATTTCATTTTTAACACAATCGGTTTGCTAGATCAGTTGTTCTATTTTATTTTATTTTTTTTAACCTGATAATAAGTATTTTACTTCCAAGTTTGGATGCCCCAATAAATGATTTTTTTCATTATAAAAGAAATAACGAAGAATACAAATAAATAAATATTTATTTATTTATATTTAAAATAATTTAATGTACTAATATAAGATATTTTTAACATTTCATATATGAAAAGCATTAGTTTTTGAAATTTAAATTCAATTTTAAATGATATAATCATTATTTCTTATCATTAATTATATAATTTTACAATTTCGAGTATTTTAAATTATTTAGTATTAAATCCTTACTTTAAAATAAAATAAACTTCAAATGCTTTAACTTATTAAATTGTATAATTAATGGGATGAATTCCATTGGCAAATTTATTAAATATAAAAATGTAATTGTCCATATTAAAATTATTTACATTATTTTGAAAATTTTGTATTTAATTGTATTTTAAGATGGCAGAAAATATTCTTCATCATCATTTATTGAATTTTGTATTATTAAAATCAGAAATAAGAAAGTTTAAACGTGACTTTAATGCTAGAATTTCGTCTTATTAGTTCGTTAAAATAATAATAAAAAATTTTAATTTGATTATATTGAATATA